TCTGTAGGACTGGGACCCACAGACACATCAGTTTTGGCTTGGTGGGGAAAGTTGTCTTGAGCAATACTAGTCCACACATCCACTCATTTTTATTCCTGTTCAGACTCCTCCTGCTCCTCTACCAGAGATCTGCAGTGCCCACTGTCAGCCTCTTGCTTTCCCTCCCACTCAGCTGGGTGGGGAGCTGGGCTGTCTGACCGCAGCACGCTGGCAAGGCTGGGAGGGAAGGGAAGGAAGTGACCCTCTAGCAATGTTTCCTTCACAGAGATCCTCCAGGTCGTCCCCGGGACTTTGGAGATTTCCAGCACCAGCATCAAACTGAACTGGACCTGTGGGCTCCCTGATGGCTGCCAGAACATGCGGGCCTTATGCCGGCTGTCAGAGCCTTCCTCTCCTCCCTGCGAGGCTGAGGAGGTGAAGGGAGAGGAGATGCTACATGGCCAGGAGGGAACATTTACCTGTCCACCTCTGCAGCCCTACACTGTCTACAGTGTCACCATCCTCCTGCCCCCCAGCACAATAGTTTTCACATGGTTGGTCAGAACAGAGGAATCAGGTATGTGTGCAAGAGTACAGGAGAGAAGGAACAGTCCTGGGCTGTGTCACAGGTTGAGGAGGTGGAAAAATGTTCTTTTCATCCAGCAGCTCAATCTGAGCATCCACTCCCTGCAGTGATGTTCCTGGGATTAGGGCTGCTGGGATCCTGTAGAGCTCGGGGGAATGGGATTTGCAGGGCCCTGGAGCACAGCATGTCCCCTTCTCACTCTCCCAATCCTCACTACTCCATTGTTTCTGCTGCAGCACATGAGTCTCTGTGGGGGACAAACCCTACATAAGGGTACCTTTTCAGACTGTGGGCTTGGCCCGGTGGTCCCTTTGCAGCTCTGGGCTCAACCTCTCCTCGCCAGCCCCATGCATGACCCCATCCTCTTGTGCTTCCAGTGCCAGACAAAGTGGAGAAGCTGTGGCTGGATTCCAGCACGGGATCCCTCAGGTGGAAGGCGCTGCCGTCCTGCAAAGGGGAGATCATTGGATACCAGGTACCAGGGGACCACAGACTCCCTGCAGTGCCCCTCACCTTGCCAGGCTCCTCTGTGCAGGCAGGTGAGGAGAGTGGGGAAGGGAAAGCTGTGGTGACCCACAGTTCCCAGGCAGTCTAAGTGACTATCTAGCTGTGATGAGCATGAGAATTTTCTGTCTCACCCTTGACATTCCTCATGCTGTGAAGTTTCCCAGATTGGTGATAGATGCTCCCTCCCCTGTGGTCTTCCTCCCTGGGTCCATTCTGCCTATGATTTGGCAGACTTTGCAGCTTGTTTTGCAGCACTTGGTGATGCCTCTTCTGGGGCGGCCTCCCAGGGCTTCCGGTACCTCTTGCGTGCTTGTTTCTGGTTCCTGCTACAGGAAAGCCTGTGGTTTGAGTCAGTCTCTGAAAACCTGTCTTCTTCTGGCAGAGTTGCACTGTTTATTTGAGTTTTCCTTTGTGCATGGCTAGAAGCACCTCCTGTGTCTGTGGGTTTAGGGCTCTTCCCACAGTTTGGCCCTGCTTTCTAGAACTGAGTGGGGGTTAGGCCCTTTACCAGTGTGCCCAATGCCCTCTCTGAGGACAGACCTCTCCATGGGATGACAGGGACGCAGACTTGCCAGTTCTTTGTGACCCTCTTAGCTCTTTCCTGGAGAAACCGACAAGAAGGAGTCCTGATTGTGCTGCCTGTGGGTCCAGTCCAGCTTCTTCCCTGCTTCCAAACACCTCTGTTTGTGAAAATAACCAATTTTCTGGTTTCAGTTAGCTCCTTTTTTGCATATTCCCAAGATGTCTTTTCCATATTCCCAAGATGCCTTTTCCATAAAGACAGCAGTGTGGATGGTCCAGGATCTCAGGAGAAATTCAGATGTTGCAATGGAAAATGGGGAGCTGTCACTTGTAACCCTTGTGGGGACTCTGTCTTCCCCTTTTCACATAGACAAAGCCTTCAGAGTCCAACCTGGCATGGAAGAAAAGAGAAGTTCATGGCTCCTCTTGTAGGAGAT